AACATATAGGTCAATGGAATAGAATAGAGAGCCCAGAAATCGACCCAAACCAATATGCTCAATTAATATTTGACAAAGGAGGCAAGAACATACAATGGAGTCAAGATAGTCTCTTCAATAAATGGTGTTGGGAAAATTGGACAGATATATGCAAGAAATTAAACTAGACCACCAACTTACACCATCAACACAAAAATAAACTCAAAATGGATAAAGGACTTAAATGTACAAGAAACCATAAAAATTCTAGAAAAATCGAAAGGCAGCAAAATATCAGACATATGCCGAAGCAATTTCTTCACTGATACAGATCCTAGGACACTTGAAACCTAAAGAGAAAATAAACAAATGGGACTACATTAAAATAAAAAGTTTCTGCAAAGCAAAAGAAACCATCGACAAAACAACAAGAATGCCCACTTCATGGGAGAACGTATTTGCCAATGTTATATCCGATAAGGGCCTAATCTCCAAAATTTATAGGAAACTCATACATCTTAACAAAAGGAAGTTAAACAATACAATCAAAAAATGGGTAAAAGGACATAAATAGACACTTTTCCAAAGTGGACATACAGAAAGCCAAAAGACACATGAAAACATGCTCAAAGTCACTAATCATCCAAGAGATGCAAATCAAAACAATAATGTACCATCTCACACCTGTCAGAATGGCTATCATCAACAAATCAACAAATGACAAGTGCTGGTGAGGATGTGGAGAAAAAGGAACCCTTGTATATTGCTGGTGGGAATGCAGACTGGTACGAAGTTTCTTCAAAAAATTAAAAATGGAACTCACATTTGACCCAGTAATCCCACTTCTAGGAATATATCCCAAGAAAACAGAAATACCAACCAGAAGGGATATATGTACCCCTATGTTCATAGCAGCACAATTTATAATAGCTAAAATTTAGAAACAGCCTAAGTGCCCATCTGCAGATGAGGGGATTAAAAAACCGTAGTACATCTACACAATGGAATACTAAGCTGCTGTAAAAAAGAAAGAACCCTTATCATTTGCAACAGCATGGATGGACATGGAGAGCATTAGAACATGATGCTAAGCAAAATAAGGCATGATCTCACTCATTTGTGCAATTTAATGAATAACATAAACTGATAAACAAAAACAGAGCCAGAGACATAGAAGCATCAAACAGACCATCAAACTTCAGAGGAAAGGTGGGGGGAGGGGAAGGAGGGGGGTAAGAGATCAACGAAAGGACTTGTATTCATGCATATAAGCATAACCAATGGACAAAGACACTAGGGGGGTGAGGGTAAGTGCTTGAACAACATAAACTGATGAACAAAAATAGAACCAGAGTCATAGAAGGATCAAATAGACTGTCCAACCTATGAGGGAAGGTGGGCGGTGAGGGGGTAAGAGATCAACCAAAGGACTTGTATGCATGCATATGAGCATAACCAATGGACACAGATGGGGTGGTGAGGGGATGTGCTGTGGGTTAGGGGTGGCCAGGGAGAGGTCAATGGGGGGGGAAGGAGACATATGTAATACTATATGTAATACTTCAAACAATAAAGAGATAAAAATAAATAAATAAATAAAACATGTGGTGCTGATGAGTATATCCAAATGAGGCAAGGCTTTAGTGACCGACAAGGACTTCAGAACAAATATAAAGATCTTCCTGCACACTAACACTGGAATTTTGTTAACCAGTAAAAAATAGATTGATATTTCTTATCTTGAGAATCATAGATACAAATCACTCTAAAATCCTCAATCCTGGAAGTTATTCTTTCCTTTACAATCAAATGCTTCTGTGTCTACCTCCTCTCCCTTTGTCTGTGAATTCTTCCAGGGCAGGTACTGTGCCCCATTCATCTTTTCCTACCAACCCCTGGCTCCGTGCCACACAAAGTAAGTACTCAGCAGACTGCTGTAAGGATAAAACTTGGGGAATTCCTTATTAAACTCAAAATGGCAATTTGACTAAATGAGAATTAATGGAATTGATTACTTTCAATGTACCTTATTGCACTTAGTTTCTGGGTTTTTTAAAATCTTTGGTCCCTTTATTTCACTGTTCTTTTTGTGATTTTATTTTTATTAAGGTATAACTGACAAATAAAATTATAAGGTATTTAAAGTGTGCAATGTGATGATCTGATACATGTACACGTTGTAAAAGGATTCCTCCCATTGAGTTAACATACCCATCACCTCTCATATCTACATTTTTAAAAATTTATTTTATTTTTCCCATTACCATTTATGTCTTCTCTGCCCCATTCCACCTCCACCTCCTCCCCTTCCACGATCACCAGTGTTGCCCAGAAAGACCTGCTGTTCTATTGCAATGCCATCAACATCACTTTTTAACAAACTGAGCTAGTCCAATGAACTGATACAGAAATGTGAAGAGCAACAATACCTGACAGTCTATATATAGTATCTGGGAAATGTACATGCCTGTCATAAGGAAGCTCAACAAAGTTCAGATGGCTCTGTGCAAAGCCAACACTACCGCTAGAAAACCAACTAAATCACAGGCCCTTTTGATGGTGGACCAGCAGCTTCAGTTTGTAAACCTAGTCAGGTACCTGCTTTCAACGTGTTGAGGGTTGACATAGGCGCATGAAGAACAGAATGTAACATTTTGTGGTGTAAAATTTTCGACACTGTGATTAGAGAATGCACTAGTGGTAAACCTCGGGAGAATCCCAGGGCAAGCAAACTGTCGGCTACTCCCACATAAATGTAAAAAACATAAAATGCGCTGGTACTGGTGAAGATCACTGGATGGCTGTTATTTGTACTTGCAGTACTATTCCCTTTGTCTGGAGGAGGTGTTCTGTAAAGAAAAGGGAAATCGTTACTCAGCAACAAAACCTTCCCATTGAATTTTCAATACCATATGCAAAGGAAACAGAAGTTGAGTCGAAAGAAACACAAATATTTCATTAGCAGAGTTTATGACTTTAATCTCAAGAATTTACTATTGCAAGAAAGTAGATTAAACTTTTTCACCATTGAAATAGATAAAATGGATTCTTATTAAGTATTCAGAGAAAATTATAATATATAATGTTTTAAATATTTTCCTTGTGTTTCATGGAAACTGAACACAACTGAATTCTTCAGAAATTGGTGAAAAGCTGCAGGATCTGCACATGCTCACAATTTTAAAAAAATAATTCCATTTTTCACTTCTGTGATATT